CCAGCTACTTGGAAGGCTGAGGCGGAAGGATCGCCGGAGCCCAGCAGGTTGAGGCTGCAGTGGCCGGGAGTGGCCACTGCACTCTAGTCTGGGCGACAGAGTGAGACTCCAACTCAAAAAAAAAGAAAGAAAGAAAGAAAGAAAATATAGTTTATTTAAAGTAAATTAGTGAGAGAGAGAGAAAGAGAAGATCCACCTCCTCATGGTGGGGGAGGAGGCCAAAGCCAGGAAGCACAGTGACAGCCATAGCTCAAAGAGCAAATGGCCACACCAGAGTCTAGCAAGGCAATGGTCAATGGCTGCTTGTGCTTGAGTCCTTTTAGCCTTTCCCCTTGATGGGGGAAGATCATTAGGGTGATTGGGTGGTGGTCTGCTACATGTCATTACGAAGGGGCAGGCAAGCACAGGTACTGATGTCAGGTGATGGGCAGGCAGGCAGATGGGTGGGTTAGTCACATGATTGCTGCCATGGTGGGGGTCTGTTTGTGTCACATGGGTCACAAAGGGCTGATCAGGTTAATTTAGGGGCTTGGGCCCAGAGGTTCCCCCCGCAAGAGACTTGTTAGACATTTGCAATCTGCAAACTCCTTGACCAAAGGTGGTCTTATTATCATTTCAATGGCTTTGACCTTCTGCCTTGAAAAGGAACCTGAAAGTATACTATAGGTTGTTAAGCTAAATCATGAATTGAAAGCTTGGGCTGTCCTGGTCTTGCATCTGATGGAGGTTTGCAGAAGGGATGGGATAGGGTGCAGCTTGGCCTGCCGTAGAATGTCTAAATGCTTTCTAATGGTTATGCTGAGGCAAAAAGACTAAACTAAGAATAAGCTAAATTTCTTCTAGGTTTCTATAGGTACCTCCTTTCAGTTATTATTATTATTATTATTATTATCATCATTATTATTTTGAGTCAGAGTCTCACTCTATCACCCAGCCTGGAGTGCAGTGGCAGCCTCGACCTGCTGGACTCAGGTGATCCTTCTGCCTTCCAGGTTGCTGGAACCATAGGTGTTCACCACCATGCCAGGCTGATTTTTTGATTTATTGTAGAGAGGACGTCTTGCCATGTTGCTCAGGCAGATCTCAGAAACCCTGAGATCAGGTAATCCTCTTGCCTCCACCTCCCGAAGTGCTGAGATTACAGGTGTGAGCCACCATACCTGGCCTTTTTTAAAAATCAACAATTAATATTGGGTTTTATCAAATTTTTTTGGTGTCTAGAGAGATGATCATATAGTTTTACTTTTAGCTTAATGTGGTGAATTACATTGATTGAACTGTGCATTCCTAGGGTAAACTCTTCTTGTTCAGGAAATATTAGCCTTTTCATACAGTGTGAGATCCTGTTTGTATTTTGTGCTCATGGGCACAATGTGTTCACAGCAGACATTGGATTAGTTTTCTTGTAAAATTTTTGTTTGATTTTGGTATCAGGGCAATTCTGGCCTCATAGAATTGGGAAGTATTCTCTTTTCTTTAGTTTTCTAGAGAGTTTATATTGAACTAGTATTATTTCTTTCTTAAATCTTTGGTATGATTTGCTAATGAAACTGTCTGGACTTTGAGTTTATGAGAAGATTTTTAGCTACAAATTTAATTTTTAAAAAATATATAGGGCTTTCAAGCTTATCTATTTCTTCTTGCATGAACTTTGGTGGTTTAAATCTTCATGGAATTTGTCCTTCTCATTCAAATTGTCAAATTTGTTTGCAAAAGTGATTTATAACATTCCCTTATTAGCTTTTTAATATTAGTAGAAACTGATGAGGTAGAATAAGCTTTGTTTTATATAAAAAAAATATTGGTAGATACTGTAGTGATGTCACCTCATTTGTGTGTGTCTTTTTTTTATGATCAGTCTAGCTAAAGACTTATCAATTTTATTGATCTCTGAGAATTAACTTTTGGTTTTGTTGATTTTCTCTATTGTTTTTTTGTTTGCTATTCCATTGATTTCTGCTTTGATCTTTACTCTTTTCTTTCATCTGCTTACTTTGTGTTTAATTTACTCTTGTTCTACTTTCTTGAGGCCAATGATTCAAAACCTTTCTTCTTTCCTAGTAGAGGTGTTTAGTGCCATAAAACTCCCATTAAGTACTACTATTTTAGCACAATTTTTTTTTAATTTTATTTTAATAATCAATATTTTTTTATTATGATGTTGTGGGGTACAGTTAAGGGTTAGGTATACAAATACGTTTCATTCAGGCACCCTACTGATTAAAGGTGCTTCCCCACCCCCAGATAGATATTTGCCCATTAATCCTTCTCCCCCCCCATAGTTTCCCACTACTGTCAATCATTTTCTTATAGTATTAGATTGGATGTTCAAGGTCCATTATATGAGTGAAAACATGTGATACTCGGACCTTTGTTTTTGTGAGAGGTCACTCAGAATTATAGACTCTAGTTCCATCCAGGTTGCTGCAAAATTTTAGCACAATTTTGATATGTTGTGTTTTCATTTTCATTCCGTTCAAAATACTTCTATTTTTCCTTTTGATCTCTTCTTTGACTTATATTTAATTTAAAAGGGTGTTATTTAGCTTTAAAATATTTGGAAATTTTTTAGGGGGTTTTTTGTTGCTGATTTTTAATTTTCATTATAGTTAGAGAACATACTTTGTGTCATTTAAGTTCTTTGAAATTTGTTGACTTTTGCTTTATGGTTCTGTGTATGGTCTATCTTGCTGAATCTTTCCTGTGCACTTGGAAAAAAGTGTCTTCTACTGTTGGGAGAAATGTTCTATATGTGTTAATTAAATCAAGTTCCTTGAGTTTGTTGTTCATGGTCTTTTATATCATTACTGATTTTCTGTCTAATTGTTCTAGCAGTTATTGAGAGAAGAGCATTGAAATGTTCATCTATGATTGGTAGATTTGTCTATTTCATTTTTCAGATCTATCAGTTTTTGCTTCATGTGGTTTAAAATTGTGTTATTAGGTGCATAAACACTTAAATTTGTTGTAGTCTCTTGATGAATTGATTCCTTTATCATTTTGAAACTATCTTCTTTGTTCCTGGTTATATCATTTGCTTTGAAATTTACTTCATTTGTTTTTAATATTATCAATCCAGCTTTCTTTTGACTCATGTTACCACGTATATCTTTTGTCTACCTCTGCTTTTAGCCTTTGTTATCTTTCTATTTAAAGTAGGTTTCTTGTAGTCAGCTGGGTCTTGAATTTTTAATATCTATCTGACAGTCTCTGCCCTTTAGTGGGGCATTTAAGCCATTTACAGTTAATGCAGTTATTAATATGGTTAGACTTAAGCCTACTTTCTTCTGTTTATCTTTTTTGCCTTCTTTTGAAATAATTGAGTTTTTTAAATGATTTTATTTATCTCCTCTGTTGACTCTTTAGCTATAATTCTTTATTTTAGTGGTGGCTTTAGCATTTACAATGTACATCTTTAAATTATTGCAGTGTATTGAATGATGTTATATCACTTCATGTGTAGTGTAAGAGTCTTACAATAGTACACTACTGTATTGTCCCTCCTGACCTTTATGCTGTTATTGTTATACATTTTATGTATGTTATAAACTTCACAATATGTTATTTTTTGTTTAAATAGTCAATTATCTCAAAGGGATTTAAATAAATAATAAAAAATATATATTTATTTATGTCTTTATTATTTTTAGTGCTTTTTGTTTCTTTGTGCATCCATATTTCTATCTATCTTTCTGCCTAAGGACTTCCTTTGATATCTCTTATAGTGTAGATATACTGGAGATGAATTAGTTCAGTTTTTGTGTATTTGGAAAAGTCTTTTATTTTGCCTTTTTTAAAAAACATATTTTTGCTGGGTATGGAATTCTAGGTTGACTTTTTCCTTAGTAGCTAAAGAATGATATTCCACTGTCTTCTCACTTGCATTGTTTCCAGTGAGAAATCTGCTGTCAGCCTTGCCTTTGTTCCTCTGTATATGATGTGACTTTCCTTGGGTTACTATGAAGATTTTCTCCTGGTC